TGGGTAGACGCCTCTTGCTACAATGCAGCAGAGGGGCTGCGGCTCCTTTGTGCTTGCAAGATCTGTAGCTTGGGAGAGAAAGAAACACCAAAAAGTAGTCATGCACCACTAAGGGGCAGCTACCTGGGTCATTTTGCCTGCAGCAAAGGGCAAAGAGGCCCTACCCAGACCAAAGAAAGAATGGGACTTGTACACAGTCTTTTGTTTGCCAGCTGCTCAAAACCTCTAAACCACTGACTTCTAATTGTACCTTAACTCCTGCATTTAGAGATCACTAAAAGACTATGAATATGATCCTGTTCAAGAGTGTATTTACACAATTTAGTTCTGCACTATTTGAAAAAATATTTTTTTTATTTAAGCCTACACCCTAGTCATTTGATGAAGTGCTTTCTTTTCATACTGAAAAATCATAAACAGTTGATTGTATCTTGTTGTCTTTCTACCTTTCATGTGACATTGCCATTTTCCACTTTCCAAGCTAAAAACTCCTTGTCTAGCTCATATCTTCTTGTACAAACAGTTCCCTGCCTCTGAACATCCCAAAACATCCATCTCACCTGTTTGGGTGCAAATAGCATATTTGATAGACCAGGTATAATGCAGCCGACGGGCTGGCCTTACTGTTACTCGGACAACAGCTTTTGACCTGGCAGGGATTGTCCCTCTGGAGTGTTCCAGCTCTAGAGCTGTAGCAGAAAATAGATGGTATGAGCTCTTGTTGTCACTGATCTCTCTTACACCACACACATGTTCAGCACACAGATCCCTAAGCCTAACTGCACTCAAGCCACTGCCATCCCCCCCATCTAATTATTAAGATCAGCTTCATGTGTTGAAGCTGGAATTCCCAGACTACAACTCTAGGCAGGCCCTTGGAAGTACCCAGCCTGCCTTTGGCCAGCAAGCAGCCCAGCCTCCAAGTTCATGCTAGATTGATTTTGGAAGAAAGGGGAAAGTCTAGGCCCCATCCCATGGTAATTCCCTTACAGTACCCAGTGGATCGCTGCAGACCTCCTCAGGGTCACAGGGCCCAGTGATGAGTTGTTCCACATGGAGGACATACTTCAGAGAACAGATCCCATCATTTAGCAGTACAACGCTGCAGCTTTGCAGATCACCAACCAGAACATTTCCAAGGTCCAGGTGCTCCTTTTGTGTCTGGAATACAAACCCACCATGCAAAGGTCACTGTTACATGTCAAGTGTTGTGGTTGAATGTAGCCACCACTTACCTCATCACATTCCTTGGCTGTGTAGTGCAGTGCAAAGGGTTCCCTGCCTGCTGTAGGACTTGCCATGCTCTGGGACATAGACTCACAGAATCATTTAGGTTGGAAAGGATCTCTAAGATCACTGAGTCCAGCTGTTAACCCAGCACTGCCAAGTCCACCACTAAATCACTTCCCCAAGTGCCACATCTACACATCGTTTAAATAGCTCGGGAATGGTGACTCAACCACTTCCCTGGGCAGCCCTTTCCAATGAGTGACAATGCTTTCTGTGAAGACATTTTCCCCAATATCAAATCTAAACCTCCCCTGGTGCAACTTGAGGACATTTGCTCTTGCCTTATTGCTTATTATTTGGGAGAAGAAAACAGCATCCAGCTTGCTACAACCTCCTTTCAGGTAGATATATAAAGTGATAAGATGTTGGAACAGGTCTGCAAGGGGCTCCGTCCATCCTCCAAATGCTTTCTCCTATTTTTATTTAGGCTGTTTGCCAGGTACCGTGTAGCATATTCAGGGCTCTGAGGACACTAGCTGGCCAGCTGCACTTGGATGGATGAAGGGCTAAAAGATGTTTGCTGGTCCCTTCATGACTGCATCAAGAGTCCCCTTCCCTTTCAGCTGGTTGTGCACTTGCACACAATGTATAGTGACTAGTGCCTCTAAGACATTACTACCCTGCTGTCCAACATGATTGACATGAAGCAATGATTTACAAAGTATAATTTACCTCTGATTCCTTAAGAAACCCAAACGCAAATGAAGGTGGCTCCACAGATCTGCAGAGAATAGGGGGAAAGCCAGGTGGATGTGTTCTGGCTATACCACTTAAAAAAGTCCACCACACTTAAAAATCAGACTAGCAGCAGAACAAATGGAGAAGGAGGGCAGACAGAATGAGAGGAGGGGACTGTGAGTCCCAAGAAGCCAAATGGCTTGCTCGGTTCAGTCTGGAACAAAGGATTTGAAAGCAATCCCAGAGCATTTGGGAAGGTCACATTTGAACTGGCAGGACATTTACAATGTCATTGCCATTAGACCACCAGAATCAGTTATGCCATCTCCACTGAAAGCAGTGTCTGGGAATTTGGCTGTAAATCCTTATTCATAGAATCATAAAATCATAGAATTTAAGGGTAGGAATGGACCTTACAGATCATCTAGTCCCAAGTCCCCTGCCATGGGCAGGGACAGCTCCTCACTAGATCAGGTTGCACAAGGCCTCATCCAGCCTGGTCTTGAACACCACCAGGGTGATGCCTCCAGTACAGACTGTGCAAAAAGGGGAAACCCAAGACCCCCATCCCACCGTAGTATCCCCTCTACTACCCATTGGGTCCCAGTTCCTTACCCTGATGGTGCCCAGTACCCCCTCTCCAACAATCCGTAAGATATAACAAACACTTTTGGGAGACACGGGGTATGGGATTTTCCACTTCACAAACATCATAGCTCGCAGCAGATACTTGGTCTTCTGGTCAGGAGTAAAAGTCCATGCCTGAGCCTGCAATCACAAGAGGGGAGAGTGCTCACAGGAGATCCAGACCAGAGACAAACCCAGATACCCCAACAGTTGCATTCAATGCACAGTCCCTTCATTACACCTAACCTAGTTCTCAACAAACAACTCTGGAGACACTCTCACTTCTCTCCTCCACCATCTCTGTCTGTGTCAAAGGTTCATATTGGGAATGCACATTCAGATATTCAAAGCCAGGCTGTGGCTGTATTGTAGAGAGCAAAGTACAACTTTGGTAGAATTTGAACTTACCATGGCTTCATAGGGCTGGAGGATGCCTTCAGTGGGGCTGACAGACAGGATCTTACTGTCAGACTGATGGATCTTCCATGTGAAAACTACAGGTAGCCTTGTGCAGTTTTTTATGGTGTACATTCGTGTAGAGGAGGTACCTATATGGAGAGGCCTGAAGTATAGATTTCCATCACCTTCTAAGAGCAAATGAATGGACTCCCCACAACTCTGGAGAGCAATTTCCTGTGGAATTAAGGGGAAAAGTAAGAGACATTAGCTGAAAGTATCAGCTGCTTCTAGAGGGACCTTGCAAAGATGTAGGTTCTTCCAAGACAGAAGTGACAACAGACTGGATCTGAAGAAGGAAGGGAAGGGCTTTAGTTTTTGCTGCCAAGTAGGGCCCTGAACATAATATAGAGCATTCCAGGAGATGGAAATGCAAGGTAACATTGCATTGTTCCTGTAAAGGAACAGGATGTTAGGCACTGCAAGCACCTTCTTTCTGCAATGTTGACCCCATATTAAATGTTGAAAATATTCTTTCATTCCTATTTCCAAAGGGAAAACCCCAAATTAACCATTAGGAGGTATAATAGGCATCACAGTGCAAGTCACTGTGATGAGGGAAGACTACAAAGGAACAAAACTTTGCCTAGCATCCTCTCCCTACCTTGGTGTATCCAGGATAAGAGTTCAGCTGCAAAGGCAGGACATGCTGCTGCAAGACTGTGTTAACTGGGTGAGTGGAGAGAAGGAAAATCTGGTGGCCTCCTGGAATGATGTGTCCTGAGCTGGGCTTGACTGAAACAGAGGGACAGGCTGTTTGGTTCATACTGAAGGTTATCAGAGAAGAGCCTGTGTTGGAGAGCAGCATGCTGCAGTAGGTATCAGTGTCAGGAGCCACAGGAGGAAAAGTCTGATGGAGACAAGCAAAAAAGGGTTGTTTGCACTGAGTTTAGAAAACCAGCCTAAAGGAAAGGCTTTCACTATATCAAATTCCAGGTTCTGACAAGCATTATCTTGAGTCTATGGAGAACTTTGTAACTGCTTCTTTTCACAGAAAGAAATGAAACCATCCAAGGGTATACAAATTATGATCTTTCCCTTCTCACAGTGGCCCTCATCTTTCACAGGCTCATGGGACCAGTGAAGCTACTTTCCATTATTAAATACTTTGTTCACCCAGTAAGCAAGCTGCTTACTGGTGCCTGCAGTTTCTGCAAGGATAGTGACCTTCTGGATCAAGATTTCCAGCAGGCTGGAATTTGCTCCAATTCATGCATATCAGATACGGGCTGCATATCTTGGATTAGCTGAGAAGATTTTCTAAGAGGTTCTCAAGACTATTCTTACTTCCTAGGATCAGATCCCACTTTACCTCATAGAAACAATACTTTATTGTGCTACAGAAACAGCAGGAAGAGTGAGGAAAACTTCTACTCTACCTTGTAAACACTTCTCTTCCTTAAGTGTGGATTCTGTGTTTGCCTAAGTGCTTGCAGAGTGTTTGAGGCTCCTGGGAGGGGACTAAACACCCTTATCAGTGCCTATGTCCACTTAAACAGAAAGGAAGGAGATCCCAACAGCTTCCTCATATCTAATGAGATGCTCAGTGCAACCCGGTACACTGCAGGCTAGGAAGCTAGTGCAGGAGAAAGAGCATCCTACTTCTGTACCAAAGCAAGAGTCTCCATACCATCAGAAACCACCAAAGTCACATCTCAGGATAGTGTAATGGGAGACAAAGTAAATACTGCAGAGGTAAACATTGAGTGTCTGCAAAGATCCAAACATCAGGTACACACCTTGGGGACATCCAGGATGTACTGTGGGATGAAGTGCTCCCGTTCTGCTTCATACGTGTGCGCTCTCAGCCTGACAGTCAGGCACCAGGATGGACAAATGGTGACATCATTCTCAATGTTGCTGTAGTGTCTCATCACCTGCAGACATGCAAGGGACAGCATAGACTATCTGCAGGAAGGGAGTTTGGCAAGGTGTCTTCAAGTGCATACATGATTGCAAGCATCTGTTTGTTCAATGACATCCCTGAGCCTAAGGAATTGACTTTTTCAGGGAAGAACGACTGATAAATGCCATATGTGGAACAAAAGACCCCTGAGTGACTTTTCAGCAGAAGGACATAGCCAAGCTATTCGGTGATACTACAAGAGTTGCCTTAGAAAGAAGAGTATACAGACACCCTATTGCAATTTGTGAAACTTCCAAGTGCAAAGTTTCACCTACCAGGTTATTTCTGGGTGCTAAAACTCCTGTAATTGCAGACTTGTGTGACATGAATCCTACGTCACTTGGGAGAAGAGGCTGCAGTGACACACAGTGTCCTCAGCAGCTTTACTTACGGAGGGCCAGACACAAACCCCAAGTTACTGTCCATTACCCAGGTCACGATAACCATCCTTGAGCAGGCTCACATCTACACCAATAGTGCAGAAATTCACAGTAATTCCTCCTTCAGCAAGGTGTACATTACTTCATGTTTACTGGGGATAAGAGCAAGTGTACCTGTCAACATGCATGAGCTGTGGCTTGCTTCTCTCATTTTTTTGCCAGGACACAGGTGAAGGAGAAATTGTAACCCACCAGCATATCAAAGCAGTGGTCAAAGGAGTTAATAAAGATGCTGGTTTGTCAAATTCCAGATTAAGGGTTTCAACTGAACTTTAACTCTCCCAAAAACCTTTATCCTGCAAAGAGTTGCTTGATAGCTCCTCTCTGTAAACTGGTCTAAGCACTTCCTACTAACCTTGTAGAAGGCAAAACCTTCCAGCTCTGCTGCATAGAGACTGTTGAGCTGAGGAGCCTTGAAATAGACATGGAAAACTGAAGACTTCAAAGGTGGGATGTCACAGATTTTGGGGCACACTTGGAAGGCACTGCCATGGTTTGGAGTCCAGGCAACACTGATATTTCCTTTGGTGTGGTTGATCACATGAAGAGGAAGAGGTTCTGCCTTGTGAAGTGGCACGCAGCAACCAAAATCGTACTCCCTGGGGCTGACACTAACATGAGCAGGAAACAAGGCCAGGTCACTGTTTACACCATCATAGAAATATTCAGTCATGGAGTTGGGTTCAGAGTATTCCTTGGGAGGCTTCTCCTGAGGCATCTACAGGGTGGAAACATCTCTGTGAGCAGGGCAAGTGTGCCCATGGGAGACAACAGGAACTACAGTCCTGATTGCCTTCACAAGCAAGAGGGCATGCAAAATACACTTCAGTAACAGTTCTCAGGACAGTTCAAAGTTTACGCTTCAAGGAGGCTCCTGTTCGTTAGCCAGTGCTCAGTCTGACACTACATGAAACAAAAGACAACCCTGTGATTGACTTAAAGCAGTAAAGTGGTTTAGTGGCTGAGCTGGGGTAAAACCCAGCTAATAAAGATAGTGTTGGTGTGTGCTGGGAACATTAAGAGGAGATATAGTAAAGAAATCCATCTGGCACCTGCAAGTCCTTCTAGATCTGTCTGGCCTGTGCAACAGGAGCTCAGCATATACAGAGAAGAGCACAGGAGTGCCTTACATTCCAGGGAGGACAGGTCATACCTCAGGAGGCAGCATGAGGGCTCCCTTTCCATCCATCTGCAACTTCCCATCCTTCAGCATCACACTCAGGATATCAGGGGGGTAGAAGGTCAGTCCCCTCACCATGTTGGTTCGGTACCAGGAGAGGTGTCTTGCCTGAAGGATGGCTGGTTTAGCTGTGTCTGAATGGCAGGTACCGAAAAAGTCCACATACATGGGTGCCTGGGCAAACACCAGAAAAAATAAGAAATAAGCTGTTCTTTTGTGATTGCTTTGAGAGTTACACCATCCCAATACCTCACTTCCAAAACCATACCTGGGAAAGGCTTAGCATCTGCAATGTTAGGCTGCCATTTACTTTATGTCTTGATGTGATACAAGAATTTTCTTGAAACTGGAGTGCAAATTGAAGACACTCAGTGCACAGCTGTGCTGCTAAATTTAACTGGACAGGAGTCACTTAGGATGCACCTCACCCCACCCATGGGCGTTACTGACTGTCTGTCCACATCCTACCGCTGACAGGAACCTGCATCATGGGGATTCTGCTCAACAAGAGCCCAGGTCCTGCACTTGAGTCACAACAACCCCATGCAGCACTACAGGCTGAGGGAAGAGTGTGTTGGAAAGCAGCCCAGCAGAAAAGGACCTGGGACTGTTGGGTCGACAGCTGGCTGAACATGAGCCAGCAGTGTGCGCAGGTGGCCAAGAAGGCAAATGGAAACCTGGCTTGTACCAGGAATAGCCAGCAGGACTACAGCAGTGATCATCCCCCTGTACCTGGCACTGGCGAGACTGTGCCTTGAATAGTGTGTTTAGTTTTAGGCCCCTCACTATAAGGAAAACATTGAGAGGCTGGAGTGTGTTCAGAGAAGGGCAACAAAGCTGGTGAAGGGTCCAAGCTCAAGTGCTGTGAGAAGCAGCTGAGGGAGCTGAGCATGTTTAGCCTGGAGAAAAGAAGGCTCAGACCTTATTGCTTTCTACAACTACCTGAAAGGAGGTTATGGCCAGCCAGGTGGAGGTCGGTCTCTTCTCCCAGGTAAGAAGTGATAGGACAAGAGGAAATTACTTCAGGTTGGGCTAGAGGAGGTTTAGATTGGATAAAGGGAAAAATTTCTTAACCAAAATAGTTGTCAAGCACTGGAACAGACTGCTGTTGCCCATCCTGTAGGTGCTGCGATCACACAGCACCTACAGGATG